AGCTTCATCTGACATACTTTGGACATGTTGGAAGGAGAGACCAGTCTTTGAAGAGGGGCATCATGCTTGGGCGGGTGGAGGGACAGCTCAGGAGAAGAAGCCCCTCGATGAGATGGATTGATTCAGTGACTGGCTAATAGGGATGGGTGTGTCAGAGACAATGAGGTTGGCACAGGATAGGGCAGGGTTTTGTGCTGTTGTACATAGGGTCGCTGTGAGTCACAGACTACTTGACAGCACCTAATAACAACTTAGTTTAAAATTAAGAAGGGAATGTGTCAGGGTTGTATTCTCTCACCATACCTATTCAGTCTGTATGCTGCACAGAATTTTGAAAACCTGGATTCTCTGAAGAAGAATGGCATCAAGATCAGAGGAAGACTCATCAATAACCTGCATTACGCAGACAAAACAACCTTGCTTGCTGAAAGTGAGGAAGACTTGAATCACTTCTTGCAAAAGACCTAAGAATACAGTATGCAGAACAGATCATTCGAGATGCTGGGCTGTACAAGGAGGAATGTGGCATCAGGATTGGTGGAAGAATCATCAACAACCTGCGTTATGCTGATGACACAACCCTGCTCACTGAAACTGAGGAGGACCTGAAGCGTTTGCTGCAGAAGGTCAAGGATTGCAGCCTTCAATACGAATTGAAATTCAACATCAAGAAAACAAAGATTCTCACCACGGGACCAATTGGTAACATCAGTATGGATGATGAAGAGATTGAGATAGTTAACAGTTTTAGTTTGCTTAGCTCCGCAATCAACACTCTGGGTACAGCAGCCAGGAAATCAGGAGATGAATTACATTGGGAAAGTGAGCTGTGAAGGACGTCTCATGAGTACTGAAGCATCAGTACTGGAGCATCAGGCTGGAAACTAAGGTGTGCCTGATCCAGGCTATAGTCTTCTCAATTATGTGCTATACATCAGAGAGTTAGACAGTGACTAGGGATGATAGAAAGAGAATTGATGCCTTTGAGCTGTGGTGCTGGAGAAGAATGTTGAATATACCATGAACTGCTAGGAGAACAAACAGGTTTGCCGGGCTGCTCCTTGGAGTCAAGGATTCTGAAGCTTCATCTGACATACTTTGGGCATGTTTCAAGGAGGGACTGGTCTTTGGAGAGGGACATCATGTTTGGGAGTGTGGAGGGGACGGCACAGGAAAGAAAGACCCTCAATGAGATAGATCAATTTTGTGATTGGGGTCGTGGGAGTGATTATGTCGGAGATGGTGAGGTTGGCACAGGATAGAGCAGGGTTTAGGGCTTTTATACATAGGGTTGCTAAGAGTTGCAAGCAACTCAATGACACATAACAACAAACAAATATGGATTGCATCTTAAACAAAAACAAGGATTCCTACCACTGGACCAATAGGCAGCATCATAATTAATGGAGAAACTTTCGGACCTGTCAGCAGCATCGTCTTACTTAGGTCCACAGTCAACACCCTTAGTACCAGCAGTCAGGAAATCAGGAGACATATTGCAGTGGGGAGACAGAAAAAGAATTGATGCCTTTGAGTTGTGGTGCTAGAGAAAAGTCTTGAACATACTATGGATCTCCAAGAAAACAAATAAGTCTGTTTTGGAGAGGGTGGATCCAAGTTTCTCCTTGGAGGCTAAGATTTTGAAGTTCCACCTCACATACAGTGGACACATGGCCAGGAGGCCATGGAGAAGGCCATGGAGAGGGCCATGGTCCTTGGAGAAGGACATCATGCTTGGAAGGATTGGAGGGACAGTGCAGGAGGGAAAGACCACAGTTGAGATGGATTGATACTGTAACTGGAGCAATGGGCTAGGTGAGTAGGAATTAGACTGGCTTCAGAGCTGTTGTACTTTTTTTTTTTCATTGATTCAAGTATAGGTTTCACATTGGATCTCTGTGAGTCTCAGGTGACTCGATGGCACATAACAACAGTAGTTAGGGACCTCTCCATATTATTGATAAACAATGATGTCAGTTTGAGGAGTAAGGTGTGTCTAATTCAGGCCATGGTCTTTCCAGTCACTTGCTATGTATCTGAGAGTTAGACACTTAATAAAGATGATAGAAGAAGAATTGATGCATTTGAGCTGTGGTGTTGGAGAAAAGAACTGAACATTCCCTGGCCTGCCAAAAGAACAAACAAATATGTCTTGGATAAAGTACAGCCAGAGTGCTTGTTGGAGGCAAAGATGATGAGCTTCACTTCACATACTTTGAGCATGTTGCTAGAAGACGCTTTTCTTGGAGAGGGACATGATGCTGGGAAGGGTAGAAGGTTAGTGAAGGAGAAGACCTTCAGCCAGGTAGATTGTCACAGTGATTGCCTTAGTGGCCTCTATTGTGTCAGCAAGTATGAGGATGGTGGATGATAAGACAGGTTTTAGATACGTTCTTCTTAGGGTCACTGTATGTCGTACTCGATGGCACCTAACAATGGCAATATGACTGCTTTCATGCTATGCTGACAGAGCTTAGTATCCGCAACATAAACTGTATTACCTGCAATCTTAAAATAGCTACTCTCTGGCCATTTACAGAAAAAATTACCACCTCCTAGATCAGGCCATTCATTTTCCATTGATCTGAGTTGCTACTTTACCATACTAAATATTTTATATCTATTTTTGGAATGTATGCTATTTCTTATTCACTTAATGTACTCTCTCAGTATCACTCTGTTACTAGTGTAGCTGTGATACTTTATCGATACAGTATTAGTAAAGTGTATTTTTGTTGCTATGCTGCCCTTGGCTGTGACTTGTATGTAGCAACCCTGTGGACGAAAGAGCTGAGCCCTGCCCTGTCCTCCTCATCTCTGTTGTACTTGAGCTCACTATTATCATCATCACTGTGTCCATTCATCTTATTGAGGGTCTTCAGTTCCAACTTACAGTGACCTTATATACAAGACCATGAGCTGGCCAGTCCTACACCATCCTCAAAATTGTTGATTTGCTTGAGTCCGTTGTTGCAGCTGCTGTGTCAGTCCATGTAGCTAAGGATTTTTCTCTGTTTTACCAGCCTTTACCTTACTGAGCTTGATGTCCTTCTCCAGAGAGTGACCCTTCCCAGTAACATGTCCAAAGCACAGGAGATAAAGACACGTTAGCTCATTTCTAAGGAGCGGTCTGGTTCTGCTTCTTTCAAGAGATTTGTTGGTTTTTCTGACACTCCATGGTTTTTTCCCTTTTTCTTCACCAATACCTTAATTCAAAAGCATCAGTTCTTCAGTCTTTCTTATTCATTGTTTAGCGTTCACATGCATATGAAGCTATTGAAAGACCATGGCCTTGGGTCATGCACACCTCTCAAGGTGGCATCATTGTTTTTTAAAACTTCTAAGAGACCTTTTTATAGCATATTTGCCCAGTACAGTGTATACTTTAACTTCTTGATTGCGCCTTCCCCAGATGTTGTTTGTGAATCCAAGTAAAGTGAAATCCTTAAAACCATTAACTCCATTTATCATATTACTTACTGGTTACCTGTGGATATTTTTATTTTCTTTATGCAGTGTGTAATTCATATCAAAGGCTGCTATATTCTTTGATTTTCCTCAGTATTTCAGGTTCTTGGCTTTCAGCAAGCAAGGTTGTGCCATCTACATATCACAGGTTTTAGTGAGTTTTCCTCCAAACCTGCTATCACATTCTTTTCCACATTCCAGTTGCTTGGATTATATGTTCATTTTACAGACAGAATAAGTTTAAAATAAGTTCTGTCATAGACCTTTCTTGATTTTAAATGAGATACCTGCTTATTCTGTTTGGGAGGAGAGAAGTGGAGAAATTGCTACTGTGTTGTTTCCAGCTCATTTTTGCTAGATGCTGTTGAGTCACCTACGACTCAGAGCAACCTTGTGAACAAATCTGAGCCTTGCTCTGTCTTGTACTATCCCAGCAATCTCCCCATGCTCAAATTCATTGTTACAATTACTATGTTATTCCGCTAGTTCAGAATCTTCCTCTTTCTTTGACCCTCTGCCTTTCCCTGCATGATACATTTTTCCAAAGACTGGCCCCTCCTGACAACATATCCAAAGTATGTAACACCAAGTTTCATCATTGTTACCTCTAAGGAATACTCTAATTGCATTTTCTATAAAATCGACCTGTTTGTTCTTTTGGCTGTCTATGGGATAGTCAGTGTTCTTTTCCAACATCACAATTCAAAGGCATCAATTCTTCAGCCATCCTTATCATCTAATTCATAGTTACCCTATACTGATACATTAGAACTACTACCATAAGACTTCCATGGCTGTAAATCTGTTTTTCCCTCCCCTGGAAAGCTTGTGTTATCACTTAGGATAGGACAGCAATTCAGCAGATTGTTAGAAAAGAAACTAGATACATTTATAACAAAGCCATTGAGAGGAAATGCTATATAAATGTACTAAATTCAATAGTGAGTCAGACATCATAGACAGTAAGGAGGAAAAAAGTTACAGAGAAAGCAGTTCAGGCTGGAGTTTATAACATCGAATTTTTAAATAGATACAGTAGAAGACTGTAGTGCAAGCAAACTACATCCCATAGACCAGCCTTTTATGTCCGTAAAGTTTTTCTGGAACACAGCCATGATCATTCATTTATGTATTATCTCTGTAGATGTACCTAGAGCTGCTTTTGTGCTATATAGACAAAGTTCAGAAGTTGAGGCTGTACGTATGACCCATAACAACTAAAATATTTATTAACTAACCTTTTACAGAAATTTGGCTGGTCTCTGCAGATATGTGGATGGGAAAGCATTATTGGTGACCATGGAGGAGTTGAAAATAAATTATTTATTATAGTGGAATCAGTAACAGAACAGATGAGTGATTAAAGAGGAAGTTAATCTTGAAGGACTACAATAGGAAGTAGTAGTATTATTATTGTTATTATTAATTACTACTAAATAGCAGAAAGAGTCCATTCCAGACTGGGATTGTAACTCGAGAAGGAATAAAGGTAGCCTGTCTTAATCATGCTTTTCTAATCTTTATCTTGCTAGCCAAGAAAGATCAAGAAGGTGGAGAAGAAAAGAAATCTGTGCAAAAGAAAAAAGTGAAAGAATTAAAAGTATTGGATTCAAAGACAGCCCAGAATCTCTGTAAGTAACTCCTATGATCTCAACTGTTTGAACTGTGCAAAGCTTTCTAAGAACTTAATTCTGATGGACCCAGGGTCCTTCAATATGGAACTTCTGTTTCGGGAGTGCCTACTATTTATGGCAGGCATCACTTGGTGAAATTCTTATATTTGGGTTGATCCCTTCAGTAGTAGCACTGAAAAACATTTTCCAGTTTCAAGGCAAGGAGAGAAAGGCTAAGATTTAGGAATTTGCTTAACTATATGTAATTAAGTGAGGAAAAGACTGATCTGGTATTTGAATCTTGAATTTTCTTTATCTCAATTTCTGTAAATTATTCTTTTACATGCAGACACTGGCTTGAGTTCGGTAAAATCTAAAATAATCTGTGGTTCAGAGTAAACTGTGTACTTCTCAGAGTAAGATCAGCCTTTCCAGAGTATTCTGCTTTGAACTTACACTCCTCCGCCATTCTGATATTTGTCTTACGGTAGCAGCTCACATGTGATGCTAGAAGATGTACTGCTGGCATTTCAAATACCAACAAGGTTACACATGCTGGACAAATTTTAGCAGTTTCCAGATTAAAACAAACTAGAAGCTCCATAACAAGATAAAGGTAAATAATCCAATAGAAAAATGGGCACAGAATATGAACAGACACATCACCAAAGAAGATATTCAGATGGCTAACAAGCACATGAAGAAATATTCAAAATCCCTAGCTCTAAGAGAGATGCAAATCAAAACAACTATCTATGAGTTATCATCTCACCCCAGTCAGAATAGCAAAATTTAACAGAACAGCAAGCAACAAATCCTGGCGAGGTTGTAGAGAAATTGAAACCCTAAATTCCTTGTTGGTGGGAGTGTAAAATGGTGCAACCACTGTGGAAGGCAGTATGGCGCTTTCTCAAAAAGTTGGAAATAGAAGTACCATTTGACCCAGCAATTCCACTACTGGTAATATACCCCAAAGAGACCATAACGGACATCCAAGCAGATATATGCACACCCATGTTTATGGTGGCTTTGTCCACAATAGCAAGGAGTTGGAAACAACCTAAGGGCCCATCAATAAACGAATGGCTAGAGAAGCTGTGGTCTATTCACACAATGGAATACTACACTACATATAGAAACAAGGGACTCATGCAATATTATTCAAAATGGGTGACCCTGGAGGACACTATACTGAGTGAAGTATCTCAGTCACAAAAGGACAAATACTGCATGGTGCCACTGTTGTAAAATAGGACTGACCTAGGGGTTGGGGGGAGACTGAGAAAGATGAGTTTAATAATGTATACTGCATTGAAACAGATAAGGGAGAAAACTGTTTAAAAGGGATATGTGATTATTTTTTTTGTCAAGACGGGAGTCCAGAGCGAAGGCTACATAGTGGAGTGGAACTGTGGGGAGGGATTGTAAAACAATGAAAGAATTTTTCTTTTACTTTTCCAAGAGGGTATAGTGTACTAGGGGGGAGGGTTGGGAGGGGAGAAAAGTGCAACAATGAATGAATGAAAATCCAAAGTCTTTGTAAATTTTCATTGAAATTAATAATAAATTTTAAAAAACCCTAGAAAATGGACTTGAATTAATAGACCCTTAATTGCTATGAATAGCAGTGGCTCATTGCCTGATACAGGGCCAGAAGATGAGGCCCTCAGGTTAGAAGATACTCAAAGTGCAGCTGGAGAAAGCTGTCACCGTATAGTAGAGTCTACCTTACCAGCGTGGGCAGACAAAAGCTTTCAATCAATGAAAAACTTTAATTTGCTGGTGTGGCATGACTTAAAGAGAAAAAGCTATAAACATCATTAGTAATTGGAATGCAGAATATGCAAATTATGAATCTAGGAATCTTAGAAGTTGTAAAAAATAAAATGGAATGCCTAAAAATTTAAATCCTGAACATTAGGGAGGTGACATAGACTGATGCTGGGCTTTTTGAATCAGATAATCATGGTCTGCTGTGCTGGGACTAGTGAAAAGGAATGGCATCTCATTCATCATCAGAAAGAACATTCCGCATATATCCTGAAGTACAGTGCTGTCCGTGGTAGGGTAATATCTATATACATACCTGGAAGACCTATTAATACAATCATTATTCAAGTTTACACACCAACTACTAAAGCCAAGAAATTAAAGATTTCTAGTAATTTCTGTGGTATTAAATTGATCAAATATACAATCAAGAGACATTAATTATAACTGATTATTGTAATGGAAAAGTTAGAAATAAAAAAAGGATTGGTAATTGGAAATTATGGCCTTGGAGGTAAAAATGAGACTGGATATCACATGATAAAATTTTATATAACCAAGAACTTATGCCAAAACCTTTTTTTATAAAAAAATCAAACCATATATATATATATATATTTATATATATATATATATATGTTGTTTGTTGTTTAATGCCATCAAGTCATAGACGACTCATAGTGACCCTATGAACGAACAGCCTGAGCACTGTTCATACATAGAGTTTCCAGAGGCAAGCCATTTTGGAAGTGGCTGCCGCTCCTGCTTCCAGATATATATATATTCATATATAAAATTCATATTGAAGCTGAACAAAATGAAAACAAGTCCATAAGGGCCAAAACACAATCTTGAGTATGTCACACCTGAATTTAGAGACTAACTCAAAAATAAATTTGAAACACTATTCACTAATGACTGAAGACTAGACCAGTTATGGAAGGACATCATACCTGAAGAAAGAAAAAGGTCATTTAAAAGACGAGGGGAAATGAAAAGACCTGTCAGCAGAGAGCTTGAAACTTGCCCTACAACATGGAGAAGCTAAAGCAAAAGGAAGAAACAATGAGGAAAAAGAGCTAAACAGAACACTTTGAAGGGGAGCTCAAGAAGAATTGCAATGAAATATACAAAGTCCTGGAGTTAGAAAATCAAAATGGAAGAGCATATTTATCATTTCGCAAACTGTACTGAAGAAAAGATTAAAGCTTCTAGTTAGAATATTCAAGGATTCTGTGGGCAAAATGTTGAGTGATCCAGAAGCATCAAAAGAAGGTGGAAAGAATATACAGAACCATCATACCAAGAAAATGGGTTAACACTTAACCTTGAAAACTAGCATCTGTTTAAGCGTTAATTGTACTAAAGTTGCGCTGAAGACACTGGTGAAAAATAAAAGCTTCAGGAATTGATGTGATACAATTGAGATGTTTCAACAAGCAGTTGCAGCCCTGGATGTGCTTGTTTACGTATGCTAAGAAATTCGGAAGACAGTTAATTAACCGGTTACTGTGATAGATTAAAATTTGTGTCTACTTTTTAAAGTCCACATAATATAGAAATTCATAAACAGTATTGGTTTGGGTTTTGTTGTGTTTTTTTTCTTTTGGAGATCATTTTATTGACAGATAAGAGCAAACTCTGCAAAGGGTTGCTAGGGCCAACATGTGCCCTCAGGATGAAGCACATAGAATAGCTTCATGGAACATCAGTTATTTAAAAGGACAATGCAAGGAATGCTAGCATTGCCTCTGCCACATGTGGACAAGACAGTGCTGAGGACCATAGTCAGGGATGTTGAATTTGAAAACAGAAGTGTCCCCTGCAAGCTGGAAGTTGCCTCCTGTTTGGGTGGCAGATATCAGGCGAAGGGTTGCAAGGATCCCAGTTGCCCATGGTGTCTGGCTGCTGTCTTTGGTCCCAGAACCTGGTATGGGTGGGTGCAGGCATCTGCAGGTCAGAGTTGGTGGCATGCTGGTGTCCTAGGTGTCCACTTTATCTTTGGATGTCTCAGGCTCTTCCTGGGTGACAGGTTCTTTGTGTTTGGTGGTTGACTCCCAAATCCTGGGTTTGTATGTTCTGATCTGTGGATCCGGAACCCAGGAAACCCCGAGATAGAAGGCCTTCAGGTTGAAACAGAAGTTCAGAATCAAGATTCAGGGCATCTGCCCCATTGTGTGGCTGTCCCTCAAGAGGACACAGAGCATCTCTTGAACAGTATTATTAATATTGATGTCCTAGTATAATTTTCAGCCCTACACAGGGAAGAAATGCTGAAGTAAAAGAGATAAGTAGAGATTTCAAAGGGCAGCTCTTGAAGACAAAGCAAAGTATTACAATGAAATGCGCAGGGAATTTGAGTTAGAAAATCAGAACTCACTTGACTTTACTCAACCTGAAAGAACTGAAGAAGAAATTCAAGCCTAGAGTTGCAGTACCAAAAGATTCTATGAGAAATACATTGAATAATGCAAGAAACAATAAAAGAAGATGGACTAAACAGTCACTGTGCTCAAAAGTATTGGTCTGCACAGAACCACTTCAGGTTGTAGCATATAATCAAGAACCAATGGTAATGAAGGAAGAAGTTCAAGCTACACTGAAGGCACTGGCAAAAATAAGACCCCAGGAATTGATGGAATTCCAGCTGACCTGTTTCAACAAACAGATACCAGCCCTGGGCAAAATTCCTCACCACTGAACCCATAGGCAACATCATGACAGTTGAAGGGAAGAAAGTTTGTCAACAATTTCATCTGACTTGGATCTATAGTCAACACCCTTGGTACCAGCAATCAAGAAATCAAAAGATGTGTTGGGAAAATCTGCTCTCAAGAAGCTCTCCAAAGTGCTGAAGAGCAATGATGTCAGTTTAACCCATGAAGGCGCACCTGATCCAAGCCATAGTTTTTTTTTTCAATTCCTTGTTTTGCATCTGGAAGTTGAACATTTAATAAGGATAACAGAAGCAGCAATGCCTTTGAATTGTTGTTTTGGAGAAGAGAACTGAGTATCCTCTGGACGACCAAAACAAATAAATCTTGGAGAGAATGAATGATATCTTTTTCTAAGGAATGACCCTTCCTAATAACATGCCCAAAAGTATGTGAATTAAGTTTCACCATCCTTGCCTCTCAGAAGCACCCTGGCTGTATTTTCTAGTCATCTCAACCCCAATGTTACTGCTTTCCTAGGTCCAAAATCCAATGTAATAGCTCACAGACCACACAGAGCCATATTGAGAAATT